ATGACGAGTCAGCCTACAGACGGAAGGTTGAGCAGCTGGTCCTGTGGTGTAGCCACAATAATCTGGAGCTGAACACGCTCAAAACAGTGAAGATGACAGTGGACTTCAGGAAGAGCAACACCTGTAAATATACCTCGTACAGATTATACAGATTTGTACAGGTCTCTAGTTTTAGGTACTCTACTTTTATTCCTATTTATCTCATTTTTCAGTGACATTCCTTTGTCTGTCTGCATTGTTTCCTGCCTGTTAATACTGCTTATTTTGTTATACTACACAGCCTTATGTTGGTTTACTGTTTACTTGCCCCTTGCACAGGGATAGGTACATACAGTACACATTGAGAACCGATGTACCAGAGTTAAATTCCTCGTGTGTCTGACACACCTGGTCAATAAAGCAGATTCTGATTCTGATTTTGATTCAAATACCTACACAGAATACTCATATATGAATCGTATATTATGGCTTAAAGCCAAGCAAACTAAAGGTCAGAATGCTTAATTTATTTTGCTATATTTAATATTAGGTTTTATCCAAATTGTAATTAATGTTAGTGTTTATTAAATGCAAATGCATATCCACAGTAATGGATCAGTGTTTAGTGCAGAATTACTCATGTAGTTTCAAAGATGAATGTTTCTCCATATGATCTGTTGGAGATATTGAACAGCTGTCTAGTTCATCTTTAGTGTCATAATGCAACTTACTTTAAAGTCTATCGACTCACCTTCTTATTTGTATGTAATTTCCTGGTGTTTGCAACAAATGTTAATCTCCCTCATGCCTTCGTTATGACTCAACATAAGTATCAGATAAAAACAAGGATGAGAAAGTTACTGTTATCTCCTGTTTTTTGTTTACAGCACTAACCATCAAAATGAATTTATGGTTTACACATATCGTTGCTTGGAATGGCATGCGATTCTGACACATGAAACTGATCATTACCTCAGTGTTTCAAAGCTTGTGCTAAGAATGTGTGAAATGTCAGCTGCCTATCTAAACAAGCTCATGCCTATTCATTACCATGTCTAGCTGTGCTCAGTGGCAGTTCAACAGGACAAAACAAATGCTTCTACTGATTATCATGACGTATTAAATACAAAGAATGTACATCAGAATGAGCACTATTTTGGTTGTACTTGTTTTTATTCATTGTTTTTTTGCCTGGTTCCGTCTCTGTCACATGCTTCTCCCTCTCATGCCAGAGCCAGCCCTTGCCTTTGTCCTGTTTTCCCATTCTTACTGCCACAAAATCCCAATTCCTGCATTACAGTTTTTGTGAATTGCTAAAACACATTTCTTGAAACCAACACTCATTTTCTCAAAACCTTAAACACAAATCCAAATACTCAAACTAAATTCAGAAAACCTCGGCTTCTTCTGGCAAAATCAAACAATTGCTTCAAAACCTTTTCACCAGCACTCAAAATCACACAATGCTTTCAGATCATACACACACGAGTCAATTATATAATTACACTGCATTAAAAATGGAGAACA